GTTGAAGCTCTTGGAAGGTCTTCGAAAGACAGCAAATATTAACGCTGATTGCCCCGGCGACTTGCTTTGAAAAGGACGAAAGCGACCAAGGAAGTGAGGCAGCCGATGACGATTGACGACGAACCAGAAGACGAACAGAACGAAACCCTCGTGAACAGTTTGTTAGCAAAAATATTAAGCCCTTCGCGAAGGTCTGTCAAACAATCGCCATTTTGCCAACCGGATATGTACTAAGTACAGTAATGAGTAAAGTGATATTGTACCTGTCAGTCGTGGATCGTTGTGACGCATTTCCGATGCGAAATGAGATCAGATAGGTAATATTTAAAAACATGTCAGCTGTGGTGTGGGGAAAATAAGTTTAAACTGCCAAATCTACCAATTTTTTATGTGTGTGTAAAGATAGTGCAAGTGAGAGTCTGCTATTTTACGCGCGTCGAAACACTGTTATTCAAACATAAATATTTCGCGTTCTAGATCGAATTTAAAAAATACCCCCGAGGAAATTAAAGAAGAAAGCATGCTTTATCAGAATTTGTCAGTTTTGGCGAAAAAAATTAATATCGAATGTCACCGAGGGCGTAGAACAAGGTGTTATTTTCTCACTCTTTTTGTTTACATGTTTCGAATTTCAGGCATTCTGATTGGTCAAGAACGCAAAATGTAAACAAACGCGCTGATTGGCTAACATTATTTGCCCTTGTTGCTGCGAGGGTGATTACGGGCAGAGCATATGAAACCAGATCTAAAGATGTTTTAAAAGAGCTGAATTGGCAGCCCTTAAGCGAACGACTAAAGAGAAACAAATGTATTTTTATGCACAAAATAAAAAATAACGTCATGCCACAATCAGTAATAGAAATGTTTAAAATCAAAGAGAACCAAGTGTATCAATTGCGTAGTAACAATATAAACTTCTCCCTTGGAAAGCCAGAAACAAATTTTATGAAAAAGAGTATTAGTTACTCGGCTGCGTCCTTATGGAACAGCTTACAAAGTTTAGCTAAGGAACAAAACAGCCTTAGTAAATTTAAATCTATTCTTGACCGCAGCTGATGTGTTCTTGTAATTAGTAATTAGTAATTAGTAATCTATGCAACTAGTAATATAGTTAGTGTAATAGTTGTAAATTAATTTATATTTGTATTGTCAATTTAAGTAGTTTGCAAACGGCTCCCTGAAAAGCAGGTGGCTATGTGCCCTGAATAAATAAAAATAAAATAAATAAATAAATAAACTAAAAAAGGCGAAATCTGGAGGTAAAAGAGTCAAGATTGTGAGGGATAAACTTATTATTGAAGGGCGAGTGTTTAATTAATAATATACACTTAATGTCTGTTCCCGAGGGAAATAGTTAGTTTTGTTTTCCCGAGAGTCTCAATGTTTCCCGAGACGAAGTTGAGGGAAACATTGAGATTCGAGGGAAAACAAAATTAACTATTTCCCGAGGGAACAGACATTAAGTGTTTTGTTATATAGCGACGAACAAAAATCAACTTCAACAAAATTCATATACAACAATTGTTTTTCGTGGGAAAAGCTCTATAGAGTAAACGAGTTTAAAATTAAAGAACCTACTTAAACGGTTTCGGCAGCATATCCTGTTTCCTGTTCTGTATTTTTCTTCCCTTTTACATTCTTTACTTGAACACAAACTTGGAAAATCGTTTTTTCTAATTATCGTAGTTGTGCCGTCATTGTGTTTATTTATGTACGTAACCGGTCGGGGCGGGCAACAATTTTTCACTTGTTGCCCGGCGGGAAACATTGCATTTATCTGAAGTCACGTGACTACAAATCAGCCAATCACGTTTGGTGTTCACGCTAGCTATATAACAATAGTATATCTTGAATATAGTTTAGGAAAGTCTGAAAGTTCTTCACTTAAATATAACTTAACCCATTTCCTAAATAGCCACAAAGGCCAATACTCTGACTTTGTAGTATTTACTGTATAGATAAAAGATATACACTGTAATAACGAGTTAATTATGTGCATGAATAATTAAAGTTAGTATAATTACATAGGTGATTATTGAAAATTCTCCACGCTGATTGGTTGCCGTTGAGGTGATTATTATACACTTAATGTCTGCTGCCGAGGGAAATAGTTAGTTTTGTTTTCCCAAGAATTTCAATGTTTCCCGAGACGAAGTCGAGGGAAACATTAAGATTCGAGGGAAAACAAAACTAACTATTTCCCGAGGGAACAGGCATTAAGTGTTTTGTTATATAGCGACGAACAAAAATCAACTTCAACAACATTCATACAACAATTGTATTTCGTGACAAAAACTCTATAGTGTAAACGAGTTTAAAATTAAAAGAACCTACTTAAACGGTTTCAGCAAGAATACATTGTTGCATGTTGTGTATTTTTCTTCTCTTTTATATTCTTTATTTGAACACAAACTTGGAAAATCGTAGTTTCTAATTATCTGAGTTGTGCCTCCATTTTGTTTATTTATGTACGTGGCCGGTCGGGGCGGGCAACAATTTTTCACTTGTTGCCCGGCGGGAAACATTGTATTTATCTGAAGTCACGTAACCACAAATCAGCCAATCACGTTTAGTGTTCACGCTAGCTATATAACAATACGCGATAATCACCTAAGCGATTTTCAAAATGGCAGCCGAAGCCGTTTTGTCAGATTAAATGACGAAGAAATGTCTATTTTTTATTTTTTCCCAAATAATCACCTACGAAATTATACTAAAACAATTATTCACCTCAGGCTCGGCGATTATCGTGAATAAAAACCTCGACTTTGTCTCGGTTTTTATTCACCGATAATCACCTCGCCTTCGGCGAATAATTGTTAATTAATTATCTATATATATATATATATAATGAAAACTTTATTAAATGTTTTTCTTTACATACATATACAATCGTAAATCTCTCTCATAAAGGTAACTTACCGTTGGCTATTTGAATCACACAATACTAATCTAAAATAACAGAACAAAATGCATGCAATATATATATATATATATATATATATATATATATATATATATATATATATATATATATATATATACAATCAGATAAGTCAAATTGTTAGTAAATCCGGATTTTCCCATTCTTTATTTCGGCAGCAAAAAATGTAATATGTAGTTCTAATAGCAATAGTCATCATTTTCTTAACGCAGTACATTTGGTGGTTTTTGTCAAGACCAATACTTTCTAACATGTCTAAAAATGTTGAACATTCTTCTGCAAAAATACCTAAAGAGCTGATAGAGAGATTTATAAATTTAACTTGGTTAAAATTTTTAATAATAATAATAATAATAATAATAATTACAATATTTAGTCAGGGGGTCCACTCACGAAAGTGATTTTCAGTGGAGCCCTGATAAAAAATAATAAAAGAATAAAAATATAAAACTAGCAAAAGTGAATATATGAAAAGTTATCTCGTATAAAGTTCTTGCGCATCCAATCGGTTCGGTAGTGAGTCCTATGGCTATATATATGTTCAGCTGTTGTAAATAAAGTTAGTTGGCCATTTTAAAACTTGTGTAGACTGTTAACGTTATTTAGTAGACCGAATATTACACGGTGGCAGCGATGGGATAATGGATGGGTTTGTTAAACCAAGCCAGTTGTCTTTTGAAAGCAATTTGGCAGAGAATTGGCGACGATTTAAGCAAAAATTTGAGATATTTATAATTGCATCGGGATTTGAAAATAATTCCGACAAGGAGAAATACTGTATATTTTTAAACATCGCCGGAGAACAAGCAATCGAAGTTTACAACACATTTTGCTTTGATGAGAAAGAAGTCGATGATCTTAAAGTGTTGATGAACAAATCTGAAGCATACTGTAATCCAAAACGGAATATAACGTACGAACGGCATTTGTTTAATACTCGAGCTCAAAACACGCCTGCCCAAAAGTAGTCCAAAATCGCCAGAGGTGTTGTAACTTATTTAACTTTCATCCTGATTGTACGAAATTTTCCATACACATAGAACATATCTTTTTTTATGTGTTGGTGTTGTGTACTCAGGTGAATATAATATTTGTGATGTTACTCTGAGTGTGTATCCGCACCGAGCGAGCTTGAAAAATATGCCCGGCCACGGCGGGATTCGAACCTACGACCTTTGGAATACTAGCCCAATGCTATTCCAACTGAGCTACGCGGTCAGGACGGTTCGAGTAAGTGATATTTCGGAACAGAATGTAGTTCCTTCGATACCAGTGTAATCTTGTAATATGATTTTTTCTGTGTTGGTGTTGTGTACTCAGGTGAATAGGTATTTGTGATCTGCCCGGCCACGATACCGGTGCGGATACACACTCAGAGTAACATCACAAATATCATATTCACCTGAGTACACAACACCATGGCCAACACAGAAAAAATTATATTACAAGATTACACTGGTATCGAAGGAACTAGATTCTGTTCCGAAATATCACTTACTCGAACCGTCCTGACCGCGTTGGTCAGTTGGAAGAGCATTGGGCTAGTATTCCAAAGGTCGTAGGTTCGAATCCCACCGTGGCCGGGCATATTTTTCAAGCTCGCCCTGTGCGGATACACACTCAGAGTAACATCACAAATATCATATTCATCTGAGTACACAACACCAACACAGAAAAAATCATATTACAAGATTACACTGTTATCGAAGGAACTAGATTCTGTTCCGAAATATCACTTACTCGAACCGTCCTGACCGCGTAGCTCAGTTGGAAGAGCATTGGGCTAGTATTCCAAACGTCGTAGGTTCGAATCCCACCGTGGCCGGGCATATTTTTCAAGCTCGCCCGGTGCGGATACACACTCAGAGTAACATCACAAATATCATAGAACATATCATTCTTACAAATCGTGTCGTTTTTGTTTTTGGATTTTTTTATTTTTTTGCGGGAAATGACGTCACAAACTTGGCGCCAAAAATTTAAAAATTAGCAATGACTAATATTATTTATTTATTTGGAAGACCATGCTGTAGGAATCTTGAAACTGAAGTCTGTTTCGAAGTACGACCATTCACTGCAAAGGTAGAGTGATTCAAATTTCGAAAAATCCGCCATTTTGTTCTATATTTAGTAACACAATGTCCGATTTTTCGAACTTTGAACCATTCTATCTTTGCAGCGAATGGTCGTATTTCGATACAGACTTCAGTTTCAGGTTTCGTACAGCATGTGCTTCCAAATAAATACATGATATTAGCAATTGGTAATTTTTAAATTTTTTGCGCCATTTTGTGACGTCATTTTCCCGCCAAAAAATAAAAAGTCCAAAAACAAAAACGGCACGATTAGTAAGAATGATATGTTCTATGTCTAAGGAAAATTTCGTACAATTAACATGAAAATTAAAGAAGTTACAACACCTCTGGCGATTTTGGACTACTTTTTGCAGGCGTGAAATGTGGGCGAAACCATTAATGCGTACGTAACCGAATTAAAAATACAAGCTAAGAACTGTGAATTTGGGGCTCTTTGTGATGAACTAATTCGGGATAAAATTGTCGTTAGCATAGGAGACGATGCAGTTAAAAGTCGATTACTTCGCGAGACAGAATTGGATTTACAGAAAACCGTAGACTTTTGTCGAGCGTCAGAACAATCGAAGAGTCATATGAATGCCATATATTGAGAAAGAGGAAAAGCTTCAATTAGTCGCTAAACGGACGGGACAACAACGTGATAACCAGAATAAGAAAGGCAAAAGCACGGTCAACTGCAAATACTGTGGTTTATCAAACGAGAGAGACAAGGAAAAGTGTCCGGCGTGGGGTAAAACTTGCCGATCATATGGGAAAAAGAATCATTATGCTAAAGTATGCACCAGCCGAGGCGACAGTAATCGTCGACAAGCACATTCCTTAGAGACAGGAGATTTATATATTGGAACCATCGCAAAAGAAATTAAAGTTAACACTGTTGAAAGCAGCGAGGAGGTCCAACATCATATATAAATAGATGAAAGTGTGAAGCCTGTGGTTCATCCACCTAGAAATGTTCCAACAGCACTAAGACCGAAGATAAAAGCCGAATTGGATCGAATGGAGCAGATGGGAGTCATATCGTCTGTGACCTGCCCCACCGAGTGCGTATCATCCTTGATAACGGTAGTGAAACCAGACCAGATTTGACTTTGCATAGATCCGAAAAACCTGAACGAGGCGGTAAAGAGAGAACATTACCCGATGAAGACCATTGAAAGTCTCCTAACCAAACTTCCTGAAGCCAAAGTATTTTCAACACTCGATGCAGCAAGCGGGTTTTGGCAGATACCCTTAGATGAAGAGTCGTCTCTTCTCACTTGTTTTAACACACCATTTGGCAGGTATAAGTTCAATCGCCTTCTGTTTGGAATAAAGTCGGCACCTGAAGTTTTTCAAAGGACGATGGAAGAACTATTCAATGACATCGAAGGATGTGACGTCATAGTAGATGATCTGATTGTTTGGGGAAGAAACGACGAAGAACATGACCAGCGCCTAATTAACGTTCTAGATAGAGCAAGAGAAGTTCAGTTGAAATTGAACAAAAAGAAGTGCAAAATTCGTGTGGAAGAAGTTCCGTATATAGGCCACACCCTGACCTCGACTTCTCCGTAGAAACTTGGATCTTCTCCGTACAAATGTGTTGTTATTCCATGGAAATCAAACTTCTCCGTGGAATATTGCCGTTGTTCTGCCACGGAAAGCCTTTTCTCCGTAGAATTTTGCAGTTTCTCCGTCGAAACGGGCATTTTCTTTGTGGAAATACGCAGCTTTTCTGTGGAAACACCGCAGCTTCTCAGCGGAAACGTGTAGCATTTATTTGAAACACAATGCGGAGGCCCGAACGGGGCAACAAGTACCTTCTCCGTGGATGAGCACTTTCCTTGTGAATTAAAAAAGGCATGTCCCCTGAATATTTATTGGTTTTATACAACATAAATGCTACGCGTACGCGTTTCCGCGGAGAAGCTGCGGTGTTTCCACAGAAAAGCTGCGTGTTTCCACGGAGAAACTGCATATTTCTACGTAGAAAAGGCTTTCCGTGACAGAACAACGGCAATATTCCACGGAGAAGTTTGATTTCCATGGAATAACAAGACATCTGTACGGAGAAGGTGCAAGTTTCAACGGAGAAGGGTTGGCCCGTATGGGTCACCGTAATAAACTACTTAACAATTTGTTTGGCTGTGTTTTGCCCGATTTCCTTGTCGTGACTGTTGTTTCTATCATCGCCGTCAGATATCGCGCTTCTAGTAGCAATGGAAATAGTGGTAAAGAAATATGTGATAGAAACACAGGAATTCTGTATTTCTCGTTTTCTGCCTGTTTCCACCCTGTTCTAAGAGTGGATCGATGTGCAGGACATATTACGAATTGCTCAATGTTTTCCGTAGCTGTAAACATAGACGCCCTCGCCAAAATCAAGTCGATTTCGCTCTCAATATCAATCTGTTTTTTTATAGACATGCAGTTTCAAACTTTCCACATACGAAATTTACACGTTAATTACATCGCCAGATCGCCGTCTTAAGACAAACCGGCGCTCTTACCTGATAGTTTACTTTTCACCACAAAAGTGTTTAGGATTTCAAGCTGCAATATACCAAAACCAAACCCGACAAACTGAAATATGCAATGAAAAAAAAAGCCATAAAACTGAGGCTGAGCAGAAAGTTTCAGTTTTAACCACCTCTGAATTTTATTACAATTTCTCTGCGCATTTCAGCCAAACCACATGCAAAGTAACAATTGAAAAAAACCCTGAAAATATGAGTCATCCTTCTTTTATAGTTTTGTGAAAATGTGCTAAGTTTTGTCTTTAATTAAAATTTATTTACAGAAAGTGGCCGATTACAGAAAAGGGCCTATAGTAATGTACGTCTATTAATAATTAACGCACGTATTACGATTAGTATATATTTAGAATATGGACATTATATATTCAGTTGTTTACATGTAGCCGAGATATCAAGAAGTCTATTAAACTAGAAGTTACTATCGCAAGGAAAATGCTGCCTCACCCCCAAGGAATTAAAGGCAGCATGCACAATTTGCTGAATAAGGGGCTGTTTATATGATCCCGCTTTGCCAGGAGATATGAGGCAGGATGATTTTGATGTGCTTAAATAAGTCACGATGCATGATTCAGCAAAAAATTTCACTATTTTCTAGAGATGGATTACGGTATAGTTAACTGTAAACGAAAGGTTGCCTGTTCAAGCATAATACAACCTTCTTGAACCACACGATCTTCTCTACATTTGAACTAATTCTTTACATTTGAGCGTTTGAACTTTCGTTTAGCCTAGTGACTAATATTTTAATACATCAAAATGATCCCTTCTTCCATCATGCAAACAGCCCTTAAGACACCTGTTCAGGAGGTAGGAAAAATGCAATTTGAATATCAAACATCTTGCACAAAGTCAAAAGGCGGCTGAAAGTTCTAATTCTACTTTCTTGGCATGGGCGGTTTTATATGAATATCTTCAATGCTTATAACGTCAAGCTGTTGTATAATTATAATACGGTCAGTGGTGAAGGTAGCCATAGGAACAGGTCATGCTATGCAAGTTTTTAATGATTTGCATTATTCAAATATATGCAGGTTTATCAGTATAGCATGCATATGGCCAGTTGTCATGGGCTAGCTTGCCACTGAATACTGTACAATGTTTATATAAAAATACTAAGGGCCTGTTTACATGGAGGCGAGTTACCCGGCAAGACGAGTTACTCGGCAATGGCGAGATCCCTGCTCTTATAGAAACTAATAGTAATCCCGGGTGACTGTTTACATGATGCAGCCGAGTAACTCGTCTTGGCGAGTTCCCGGCAGAAAGAGGTGCGATCTGACCTATGCCAGATGAATATTTTCCATGTAAACACTTTGCCAGGGTAACTCGGCCACCCGAGATAGAATGCATGTGCTTTGCCATTGAAATATAATAGCTCAAAAATACATACGAATCGATAGATAAGTTTTCCTGAATTGCTCGGCGCTTATTCTTGTACGTTCACTATATTTTCTAATGTTTTTTAGCGTTTCAAAGGACTTAAATCCTTTTTCTGTTTTGGCGCCATTTCGGCATCATGCGGCAATCATGAGACAAATGCCGAGTAACTCGGTTCCATATAAACAGAGCACTTGTTTGTCCCGCCTGGGCAAGTAACTTGCCTTGCCGGGTAACTCGCTTCCATGTAAACAGGCCCTAAGTCGGGGTTTGTTCCAATTATTGTTTTACTGTCGTTCCAATTGAAGTGTTCCTCAAATATTGATTCAATACATTACCTCGGGCTGACCAATTCATTTGATCAAGTTCCTCGAGATATTCATACACTTCCTAGTATAATTGTAAACTTCCTGTTGAATAGTTTGAATGCACCAATCAAATTTTGCTGTTTGTGCAACTAACCAATCATAAATAGAAAGGAAGTGACCAGAAATGATCAAATACTTGGAATTGGCTCTTTCACAGGAAGTGTATGAATATCTCGAGGAACTTGATGAAATGAATTGGTCAGCCCGAGGTAATGTATTGAATCAATATTTGAGGAACACTTCAATTGGAACGACAGTAATGCCACCTTCAAGACTGCCCATATCACAGAAAAACCGAAAAATATGCTGATGGGGAGACAATAACTATTTGTTGACATTTCTAATTGTGAGCATTATAGAAAAATATAATACACTGTGAAATGTAGTGCCACAGCCAGATGAATATACTATATATATGAATGTAGGCTGGTAGGATTATTTGATTTCATATTATGCTAACAATAAACACACAGTCAAATCTTATACAAAAATCAGTTGATATACTATTACATGTAATCATATTGCTGGTATAAAGTCAATATGTGCAGAGAACAATCCACACTGGGTTGCTCTAGGGATCTTATCACAGTAAGCCTGATTTAACAACATTCCGCGTGTTGTTATTAAAACTATAAACATCTACAAATGAACACTATACTCATCGTCTTGGCACATAACAAACAATTAAACAAATATTAAAACTGAGTACATTGTGACTCGTAAATAAGGCATTATTGACGAATAGATCTGCCGGTAAATTCATGAAATACTTCAGAGCTCTTAAGTACTACATCTTGTCTCCTTGTATTTATAAGACATTATGAAATGCTCTAAACGACCATGCGGACAATGGGAATATTTCGGGCTGTAAGAAGCGCCGTAAACTCATGACATAAAAGCACATTGCTTGCCTCCAGAATGAACGCTAAACAGTTCATGGCCCTGATGGATATTAGCACAAAAAAAATAAAGCCATACTTACCTGGTTTCTTCGGGAAATGTTCGTATATTTTGCATCAAGTGCAGATCCAGAATAAGTTTGCATATAGCCATATAAATATTTTCTCGCACTCCCCCCGTCCGTTCCCCCCCCGGATTTACGACATCTTAACAGACACAAGATCGAGATCTCGACAATACATAGATCGGCGCGAAAGACTGGGTCGAGTGAACTCTGGAGAAACCTTCATGTCAAGATTAGGAGTGCTGCCTTCGGCAGCAATAAGAGAACATTATAGGGCCGATTACATGGAGGTTTTCAGTCCGGGATGAAATTTCAGCCTAAGCCACCTATAAATTCAATATAAAATGAATTTTACAATTACATGGAAAAAATTTTAGCCCAATATTTTGCATTTCGTCTCATCTTTCATACTTTATATGCAATCACATCTTACAGTTACACAAGTGAAATAGTCGACTAATCGGCGTTTTTAATAATGCTCAAACAAGCAGTATTGCCCTTCGCAATAATAATTGTCTGATCTCAGCCCAGATATTTCAGCCCGAGTTTGTTTACTACAAGGGATGAATATTGCTCTGACTAAAACTCAGCCCAAGTTCAAACTGCCCATGTAATCGTGATGCTATTTCAGCTCGGTTTACCGGTTCTCCGTTTCCATGTAATCGGTACAAAATATACAGAAATTATCTCGGTCATAGCACTATCTACATAGTCTTAAAGAATCCTGTGACAGGTAAAACCATGTAAATTACTAATAGCTATTTTTAAGGGAATGCATTTTCGGGTTTAATTCCCGATTCTCGGGTTTAATTCCCGAGCAACTATTTATGAGAAAATAGCGACCGGAACTGTCCGGAAGGAACAAAACATTTGTCGATTTCAGTCACGCTATATGTCGAAAATACCCAATATTCACGGCCTCCGTACAAACTCTAAATACAATAACCCAAACTAATTTTTTTATATGTTCTAGAAGAACATTTAATTAGTTGATGGGGTACGTGTCGCATAGAAAAAATTTGGGACACTTAGTTAAAATGGTTTTTGCGTGGCAACGGTAGATTGTAATTTTCGCCATGTGTGAATACCATACGATTCTAAATATCAGCTGTCTGGTTTTAATTAATAGCCAAAATCATGATTTTATACTTAATAAAGTCTCAAACATCTCTTCCATCGATTTACAAAAGTACTGTTTTCATATCTTTTCCAATTCTGCATGCAGTAGTTGTTTTTGAACCTGTTTGATTCAATAGAGGGTTTGCATATTTTTGAGGCCGCCGACAGTTGAATCGTTTTTCTCGGATTTTTCATTTTGTTTACTTGGCAATGCCGTCCAGCAAACAAAAAATGAGCAAAATCGAAACTTTGAGCGTGACCGGCTGATGCTCGAAATTAGTGGACCTTCGCTCTTAATATGCAAGTTCGCATGCAAAAATACGAGGCGTGACACGCAAAAACCTCACAAAATGGAGAACAATATCAAACTCGGATTGTTCCCTCTGCATAAACCCTGGAACCCTTTTGCAAATAGTCGCGGGATGCCGGTCATACCTTCTACGATTTCCTTGGAGAGATGACTCTATTCTCAATTTTATCAAAAATATTCCAACCTGACCACAACTCCACTCTATTTGTTGACCTTCCTGGATACAAGATCCCGTCAATAATAATAACCGGTGACACTTATCGCTCAGATCTGCTTCTTTCGATTTCAAATGATCGTCTGTACATACTAGCTCTCTGTCGGATATAAATCCAATCTCCAAACCAACGTCGATCGCAAAAGGGAAAGATACAAAGATCTAATTATGCAGCAGAAAGACCATTTAAAAACTGTCAAAATTATTAATTTGCCTACTAGTGCCTTAGATGTTTTCTCCAAAGAATGTAGCACGTTTATGAAAATGTTGAACGAAGCTGGTCTTGATAAAAAACATCGGAACTTTTGTGTTAAGAAAATAATGTCCGTCGCCATCAAAGCAACGTACTATATATTTTGTTGTAGAAACAAGGATTGGACCGATCCAGACTTGATGAAAAATTAAAAATGAGATTTCTCCTAGTTTTTCTCCTACACCCAAGTTAAACAGCGTATGAGAAAGGGGGATTTCCACAAAAAACAAGCAATACAGCACGATTCTCAGTCGCAATGGTTGTTATATAAGTCTGAGCGCAATAAAGTGAACATCGAGATCCGTAAGGCAAAGTCAAAATATTTTTGTGAGAAAATTGAGCATTTGTTCACTTTCTAAAAATGTAAAAAAACTGGTCCTTGATAAATGCCATTTCGGGACGAAAATGTAAATCGCTGAGTGTTAAAGAGCTTTTAATTAATGACACAATTGTTTTTGATGATAAAGTTATTGCTGAATCTTTTAATGATTTTTTACGAATATAGGAATAAACTTAGCAGTTGAGTCTGATTAACTCTATAATAAATTGGGTGATGACCCAAATTTCCACCAACATTGTCCTGGGACTCGTTTTTATTTTTCCGATATCAGTGTGAGTAATGTTGCCTGCGTCTTCAAAATCTTAAAGCTTCTAAAGCAACCGGTGTTGATAACATACCGGCAAAATTTCTTAAGGCGGCATCACACATCATCGCTCCATCGTTGACCGTTATATTCAAACAGTCTCTTAACACTGGTATTTACATAAACAACTGGAAACTAGCTTGAGTATCTCCGACTTATAAATCAGAAGACCAAAAAAAGTGTGAAAATTACCGTCCAATTTCTATTCTACCCATGATAAGAAAAGTATTCGAAAGAGAAGTGTTTGCTCAAATTTATAAATATCTGAATGAAAACTCGCCATTATCAAAATCTCAACCAGGATTTCGACCAAAACATGGAACTGTGGGCGCGCTTATTAAGATGTGTGACCAATGGCTAAGTGATATGGATAAAGGCAAAATAAATGGAGTAGTATTTTTGGATATTCGTAAAGCGTTTGATTCTATATATTAACCATAAGATTTTATTGAGAAAGCTAAAAAATCAATTTGGAATACATGATATTGAACTGAAATGGTTTGAGTCCTACCTAACGAATAGAGAGCAAGTTTGCTTGGTAAATGGCCACACATCCTTACCGAAGAAAATAAGATGCGGTGTCCCCCAGGGTTCAATTCTAGGACCATTGTTATTTTTACTTTATGTAAACGACATGCCAGATCACTTGAAAAAAAATAACTCCGTATCTCTATGCAGATGATACTCAAATTTTGTCTTCCTCATACGATTTTGAGAAATTAGCTCAAAATTTAAATGATGATCTAAATAATATTCAGAGGTGGCTTTTAAAAAATAAGCTTCAACATCATCCCACCAAAACAAAAGTCATGTTTATTGCTTCATCTTATAACCTCATCAATAAAATTGGAAATACGCCAATATTGATGAATAATACCCCAGTCCCTCAAACCAGAAAATATACATGTTTAGGGATGGACGTTGACGAAAAATTAACTTGGGATGCACACATCGATTCGATATGTTCTAAAGTCAGTGCTGAAATTGGGGCTATGAAACGTATAAAGCCCTTTGTCCCACCTGAAACTATGCAAACAATTTACTAAGCATTAATTCAACCCTACTTTGATTATTGTTCCCCTCTGTGGGATACCTGTGGAAAAACTCTTCCAGATAAACTACAAAAATTTCAATCCCGAGCAGCTACAGTGATTACTGGAGCCAGTTATGATATTAGGTCTACTGATGTTTTGAATGCTCTCGGTTGGAAAACACTTGATGTGAAACGTTTGGAAAATAAATTAATAATGATGTACAAATTAAATACTTAATAACCACACTGCCCCTAATCTAAACGAGTGTTTCTGCAAAAGAAACACAATTCAATCTAATTATGATTTGCGTAGTAGCGATACTGACAGATATATGCTTACCTAAGCCTAATAGTGAATTTTTAAAGAAAACTTTTTGATATAGTGGTGCTATGCAATGGAATCATCTTTCTGAGGATTTAAAAAATTCTGAAACCCTTTCTTCTTTTAAAAGAAAAATACGTCAGGCATGAACACCTTCTTTGGATCGCACCAATTGTTAAGTTTTTATATAATTCCTTTTCTATTATCCTCTGCTTCCTTGTTTTTTCTATTAATTAATTAATTAATTAATTTATTTATTATTTGCATGACAAAATTACTGGATGCTGATTGGTTGAGAGGAGTACAATTATTTCATTAATTGTACTGCAGTACAATTAATGATTTTCCCAAAACAAACAAAATGGCGGAAACGTATTTTAAACTGAAGCGTGAAATGAAATTGCCGTGGAGGAACTAGATGAAAATACGAACAAAATCACCAAATTTTGCTTTAACAAAAGAACTAAATGAAAATACAAACAAAAACACCAAATTTTGGTTGAAAGTCTGGCGGGACTAGGCTTTGGCGAGAGAATATGATGCTGACATTGAGAAGTACGTATCCAATTTTGTCATGCTAATAATAAACAAGTAATCGTGCGATGTTGCTCGTACAATTAGGGATTAATGGTGCTCGTGATGTTTGGAAATTTGCCAAATTGGACTCGCCCCGGCGGCTCGTCCAATTTTGGCAAAATTTCCAAACATCACTCGTACTATTAATCCCTAATTGTACTCGCCATCGCATGATTACCTATACTAATTAATTAATTAATTAACTAATTAATTAGTTGTACTTATAGATATATCGTGCAGCCTTATTTAGTGTTAATAACTCATGTCTGGAATGTGAATGTGAAATGTCCTGTACAGATCTTTAGTTAGTTTTAAAAGGTTCAGCGGAAGATTAGCTTTTGCTAAACTGGCATGTTTCTTGTAAATTGACATTCCTTAAATAAACTTTAATAATAATGATAGTGATAATTATTATGATTATGATTTTGATCATGATTATGATCATGATCATGATTATGATTATGATTATGATAATAATGGAAACTTTATTTAGACATTCTATGTATTTACAATTATAAATCTCACTATTTTTAAATAGAGATTTATAATTGTAGATACATAAATGTCAAAATAAAGTTTCCATTATTATCATAATCATAATCATTACCTTAAAAGGTAATTTATAACTGACTACTTGAACTATTAAATATTGATAAACTATATTACAGCTATATAAAATGGTATGGTATGGTAAAACTTTATTTAAACACGCTTGCCTCGATCAACGTGAGCTGCTTTTCATGAGGAGCGTCACACAATAACTATTTACAAATTAAAGAGTATACACAGTAAACTAAGTACAAGTTAAATTATATAATTAATTAATTAATTAATTAATTATGAATTAATTAATTAATTAATAATTAATTAATTTGAGAGTATATACTAATTTGTGATTTGTGACGTGTGTTTTGTCTTTCGTTTGGCACGTTTTTTATCTTTGTACCTGATATAGTATGTACTATGTAGATTGCTCAATAAATTCGTTACATAAAAAAAAATTATAATTAATGTCCCATACCAAGAATCATTTATAAACATGTCCAAAACCAGTTCGTGTGCCCTCCACTTGAATGCAGTAAATGAGCTCGAAGATCGCGTCATTGGAGGCAACATATAGTAAAAATATGATCAATGTTTGAAGTGGCAAGTAAATCTTTATAGAGCTTGTTGGTAATAATCCTTAGCCTGCATAGTCCACGCTATCTTTTTTCCAGGAAATTCCAACACTGTTATCGTACGAAAGTGCAACATCAACATCGTTTGCACCTCAGTTGTTTTTGTCTAATTCCCAGTGCTCGTTGGTAACAATCCTTAGCCTAGTTCAAGTCACCTTTGTCATAATATACTCGCCAATGTTGTTATAAGAAACTGCAACATCAACATGGCTTGGACCAAGCTGTTTCTCTTGAATTTCCATTGCTCGTTCGTAATAATCCTTAGCCTGGTCCAGGTCACCTTTATCATAACACACTAGGCCCTTTTTGTTATAACAAACTGCAACATCAACATGGTTTGGACCTAGCTGTTTCTTTTTCATTTCCAGTGCTCGTTGGTAATAATTCTTAGCCTGGTCCAGTTTACTTTTTTTACTGTACTGCAAGACAAACGTGGTTTAGATCTAGCTGTTTCTTTTTAATTTCCAGTGCTCGTTGGTAATAAATCCTTGGCCAGATCCAGGTAACCTTCTTTACAGGGCTGCAACATTACCACTGAAAAAAGAATTAATTCCAACTACAATTACTTGCTTTAAAATGTAATAAATTCCTGATTACAATTACTTGTTCAAAAATGTAATTAAGTACAATGAAAAAATTACTGTGGAAAAAAGGAATTAATTACAAATTCCTTTACCGGAAATTTGTTACCATATATATTATAGGACAATATCTTAAACGGTAGTTGTAATTGAAAACGGTATATAAACTATTAAATTTGCAAGAATTTATCAGATGATATTTCAATATATTAAAACATTTGACATGCAAATCGACGCATATAAACTTAAAACTTTATTTGCCAATATTTGGCGCTCTGGGCCTCGAAACAAATTGTGGTTTCCACTTTTGCAATAAATTGTACTTCATGTAGGCTATCATGTCATGTGATCTCGTTGAAAATTATTTCAGCCATTTTTCAGAATTTTTTTCATAACGTTGTATTCTTTATTTCTTACTTTTAACAAAATAAGAAAAGGAATTTTCTCCCAAATAAGCTTCGACGCTTTTAGAGCAATTGCATTTAAGGTGGCTTCCTACAGTTTTTGAAATATGACAAAATTGTGATTTAGATTTAATTTTTTGAAGAGAGGTTTCTTATTAGAAGACAAACATTGTACCACTATATTGAGCAATATTCTAAGAGCTGCAAATTGTTCACAAAAATGACATCATAACCGTTGCTATGGTAACAATGACGTTTCAATATGGCCGACATTTTACCTTTCAACACATTTTACTCGAAAAAAGGCCGATTACTCCCATTTTTTATTACGTGAAACGTTTTCATTCAGAAAAATGAATGATGTGAACAAGTTTAAAAAAATTCTGTAGATCCAAAAAATATTTATCACGAAAAATCACGTTTTTTAATTTTCTAAAAATTCTGATTTACAGAATTTTTTTACACTTGTTCATATCATTCATTTTTCTAAATGAAAACGTATCACGAAATAAAAAGTGGGGGTAACCGGCCTTTTTTCGAGTAAAATGTGTTAAAAGGCAAAATGTTGGCCATATTGAAACGTCACTGTTACCATAGCAACGGTAATGATGTAATTTTTGAGAACAATTTTCAATTCTTAGAAGATTACTCAATATATGTGGTACAAGTTTTGCCTTCTAACAAGAAACCTCTCTTCAAAAAATTAAATCTAAATTACGATTTTGTCATATTTCAAAAACTGTATTGAGCCACCTCAATTTGATTAATAAAATACTGTTTATATAAAAAAAAGGAATTTTCAATTTGCTCCTTGGAAAAGGAACAAGTTCCTTGCTTTTGAAATTAATTACGTTTTTTCGTTACATTTCTAAAAACGTAATTAATTACAGGTTAAAATTACTTCAAATGTAACGAGTACACAGTAACGTGTTACAATTGTAACGAGTATTTACAGCCCTGCTTTTTTATAATACACTCCACAAATGTTGTTATAAGAAACTGCAACATCCACATGGTTTCGACCTACCTGTTTCTCTCTAACTCTCAGTGCTCGCTGGTAATAATCATTAGCCTGGTCGAGGTCACCTTTATCATAATACACTAGGCCAATGTTATTGTAAGAAGCTGCAACATCAACATGGTTTGGACCTAGCTGTTTCTCTTGAATTTCCAGTGCTCGTTTGTAACAATCGTTAGCCTGGTCCAAGTCACCTTTTTCATAATACACTAGGCCAATGTTGTTATAAGAAACTGCAACATCGACATGGTTTGGACCTAGCTGTTTCTCTTCAATTTCTAGTGCTCGTAGGTAATAATCCTTAGCCTGGTCTAGGTCACCTTTTTTATAATGCACTCCACCAATGTTGTTATAAGAAACTGCAACATCAACATGGTTTGGACATACCTGTTTCTCTTCAATTTGCAGTGCTCGTTGGTAATAATCGTTAGCCTGGTCCAAGTCACCTTTATCATAATATACTAGACCAATGTTGTTATAAGAAACTGCAACATCAACATGGTTTGGACCTAGCTGTTTCTCTTCAATTTCAAGTGCTCGTTGGTAACAATTCTTAGCTTGGTCCAGCTCACCTTTATCATAATACACTAAGCCAATGTTGTTGTAAGAAGTTGCAACATTAACGTGGTTTGGACCTAGCTGTTTCTCTTCAATTTCAAGCGCTCGCTGGTAATAATGCTTAGCCTTGTCCAGGTCACCTTCATCATAATACACTAGGCCATTGTTATTATAAGAAACTGCAACGTCAACATGGTTTGGACCTAGCTGTTTTTCTTCAATTTCCAGTGCTCGTTGGTAATAATCTTTAGCCTGGTCCAGATTACCTTTATCATAATACACTAGTCCAATGTTGTTATAAGAAGCTGCAATATCAACATGGTTTGGACCTAGCTGTTTCTCTTCAATTTTCAGTGCTCGCTGGTAATAATCATCAGCCTTGTCGAGGTCACCTTGATCATAATACACTAGGCCAATGTTACTACAAGAAACTGCAACGCGAACATGGTTTGGACCTAGCTGTTTTTCTTCAATTTCCAGTGCTTGTTGGTAATAATCCTTAGCCTGTTTAAGATCACCTTTACCATAATACACTAGGCCAATGTTGTTGTAAGAAGCTGCAATATCAACATGGTTTGGACCTAGCTGTTTCTCTTTAATTTTCAGTGCTCGTTGGTAACAATCCTTAGCCTGGTCCAGGTCACCTTGATCATAATACACTAGGCCAATATTGTTATAAGAAACTGCAACATCGACATGGTTTGGACCTAGGTATTTCTCTTGAATTTCCAGTGCTCGTTGGTGATAATCCATAGCCTTGTCGAAGTCGCCAATTTTTGTGTATGAATTGCCAAGTTCGATAAACGTACTGGACCTGTAATCGTGGCATTCTGAATCTCCCAAGATTTGAAGATTTGTATTATAAAATTTGACAGCCAAATGATACTCGCAGTAGCGATTTAAAGTTCTCCCAAAAAAGTGATATATGGCATATATATCAGGTTTTTCAAAGTCTGAACTAATTGAATATAACGAGTCTTGTTCAACAAATAGTTTTTCAATTGCTGCATTGAATGCCTTTATATGTGGAATCATTTTGATTTGATCGTGCCGGTGTTGGAAACAATAAAGTGCTTTTATAACATTTTGAACTGTAGTTGCAGCGTCAATGATCGCTCTTTCATTAGCAATGCCAGGGTGAGAATAATAAGTAGTGTCCGATTCTTTGCAAACACTTAATGATTTAGTTGCTTCATGGACAACACGATGTAGCCAGACATCGCAATCTTCAGTTTCAGTAAGAAGAAAAAGTGAACAATCTTTCAATGCCAAATAAATGTCTTCTTTATCATATTTTTGATCAATTTCCTGTACGTATTTGACAATGATATCAACAGGTAGCGGTTCAAAGGAAATCAGAGAGAAAAGATTGAATGTGTGATTTAAAATTAAATCTTCGGCAGACTTTTCAACAGCTAGTTTCACCGCCGCCGTCATGGTAGATGTATAGGCTGTGCTAATTTGTTCCAGTTGTTTTTCTGTTTCTATTCTTTTATTTTTTAACTTCTGTAAGTAATCTTGCCACGAAAACGTTCGACAATATTTTCCCTCGATGACTTTCTTGAAGTATACAGCAGCTGCAGCCATGGCCAAAGGTTGATAGTCTAACTTCTCCGCAACTTCGTCTAATAATGGATTATTAGCATCAGTTCCTGACAATGTGGAAAGTAACTGACGACATTCTCCATCCTTCATGCCAAGACTGAGTGAAATATGCCTAGTGAACAGACTGTCAGAAGGGACTGCATTTGTATTCTGAACTGTTAGTATAATTTGGCCATTATTCCAAACTTCGTCGTCCCTTTGAGGTAGTAGGTTTGACATTTTCTGGAGATTTTCCACATTGTCTACTATAATCCACCACCTTTTCCAGTTCTTGATTCTGCTTTCAATCAGTGATCTTAAATCTTCGATCTTTTCTTTGTTTGTTTTGGATGAATTGATTACATTACTCAATACTCTCTCGGAACAATTTAGACGTCGGCAAAAATCTTCATACGAGTGACGCAGAGTGTCTAAATCTTTTGCATGCAAAGTCATTACAAATGTTGTCTGTGTTTCAAGATTTACGTCTTTGAACAAATCCTCCCCCAGTTGCCGGGACAGCTGCGATTTTCCACTTCCGGGATTTCCGGAAATATAGAAATATGTAAGTTTGCCGTCGCTATCAATGCGTAACTTCTGGAGTTCTTGTTCTATTTCTTTGACCTTCTCGGAACGGCGAACAACTTCGTGGGTTGGCTTTGGAGGTAGAACTTGAAATGATTTGTAAAGGTTTCGCTTACTTTTCATTTGAGTAATATCATTAACTGGAAGACTGAGGGACTTAAATGCCTTTTCGACATCCCTGATCATGGTTTGGAAGTCAGCATCAGATAGGGTTGTATCATCAGCATGCATAATTTTATTTCGCATATATCGAATATTCTCCACTTCAGTCTTAATTGTTGGATTAAGGCTTGATTTACTAATCGAGTTGGAGTACAGAATTGCGTCAAAAAGCACAGAGCAATCCCATTGATTTGTATTTCCTTGTTGAAATTTCGCCTGGTACATGTTTTTGTTTGGTCTTGGCCGAGTGTTTTCCCGATTAAACAACTGCTGTCCACTTACACTGGTGTCATCCCATGCTCCCAAGCTTGCCTGATAACGAGTGTTCCATTCGTTTTTAAAAACTTTCCGCAATCCTTCACTGACAACATCAATGATAATATTCTGCATACAAATGTAGTTTCGTTTTTCTTCGCTTTCCCATGGTACATCTGACATATTGGGAGCTAAAAGTTTTGAAAAATATATTTAACATAAAGAAATAACATCTAAATATATTGTCTGAAATATAGAAAATATGTTCTTTTATTTGTGTTTCCCATGACGAATTTCATAATTTATCTGATTAAACCGGCTATTAGTAATACACGGAGCACGGAGCACACGGAGTACGGAGCACGGAGCACGGAGCACACGGAGCACGGAGCACACGAAGTACGGAGCAGTAGAAAAACGAAAATCCTTTATAATAAAATACACTGTTTACTATTACAAATACCCAGCGCAAGCAGAAAGATGTTGTCTGCCGCGGCTGGCATTGAACCCGCGACCTTCGAATTACTAGATCGATTATATTTCATAATTTCCATTCTATTAACTGTGGTCTGACCGTGTAGCCCAGTTGGTAGAGCGTCGATCTAGTAATTCGAAGGTCGCGGATTCAAGACCCAGCCGTGGCAGACAACATCTTTCTGATGGTTGTTAAGTTGAACACAAGTTGAGAGATATAGAAAAATGTTTCTGGTCTGACAACTGAAGATTTAATCATTCTTTTTTTTTTTGCACTAACGTTTTCAGTTTATTCAAAGTTCTTTAGGTGCATATTACATATGAATGGTTTAGTGGTTTAGTACCGGTATTTATATCTAACATGCGTTTTGTTATTACGAAAATGGATGCTATTTAGTCTATATTCCCCGAGCCGACGGCGTGAAGCGCCGTGCGAGGGTACTAATTTCCCCCGGCTATTTACACCCCAGGAAACGAAAGCATTAGCCAAGTCTAAAGTTCATCAATGAGCGCGCGCGTGGTTCGGTGGTTCGGTGGGTGGTCATCCTCACTGAACTCAAAAATATAGCAGACTGTCATGAATAACGGACACTGGTTGGTCCAGTGGTTTTAGTGGTTTAGTACCGGTCTTAGTGGTTTAGTACCGGTATTTATATCTAACATGCGTTTTGTTATTACGAAAACGGATGCTATTTAGTCTATATTCCCCGAGCCGACGGCGCGAAGCGCCGTGCGAGGGTACTAATTTCCCCCGGCTATTGATGGTTAATGTGAAACGTGCGCCATTGCATGTACTGTACTTTGAAAAGTATCCGCTACCACGATGGAATTACAAACTTTGCACTCTCTTACATTTGACCATCCCTTTAGTTGCAACCTCAAGCTTATGCAATTTAGCCCGAACAGGATGGTCTTTAAGGTTTTTGGTTTTTCTAAAACACACCATAGGTGGCTCTGGCATGACACTTAGGAACTTGCTAGATAAGCCTACAATATTTTGCAATTCCCTAAAAATTCTATAAATTTCTCGCAATGCTGGGTGATAATCTATGATAAAGGTACTCTTATTATTTTCCCTTCTATTTTCCCTTCCTTGGCAAGGCTGGTCTTAGAAAACAACTATTTTGAATTTGATGAAAAAATTTTCCGCCAAAAATTGGGGACAGCCATAGGGACCAAGTTCGCACCAGGTTTTGCAAATATATTTATGGGCTACTTGGAAGAAAAATTTTTGGGGACGTGTGAGTTAAAACCATGGGTATGGTGGCGTTTCCTGGATATTTTGTGATTTGGCTTCATTCGGAGGAGGAATTAAATTATTTTTTGCTTCGTTTGAATTCTTTTCACGAGAATATCAAATATACATGGGATATAAGTTATCGTAGGATTTCTTTCTTGACGTGTCGGTAGGATTGGATAATGTTTGTTTTTTTTGTACTGATGTGTATAGTAAACCCACTGATGCACATCAGTATTTAAATTTTAAGTCCTGCCATCCTCCACATGTTAAGAGGGGAATTCCTTATGGACAGGCATTGCGTTTAAAGCGGATTTGCCATTCAGATAAGGTTTTGAGAGTAGGCTTCAGGAATTGAAAGGGTTTCTGGTTAAAAGGGGCTATAATAGTGAATTTGTAGAGAGTCAGTTTAAGAGAGCCAGGTTTTTGGATCGGTCGGCATTATGTAAACGGGGAAGTGAACAAACTAGAAGGGAAAATAATAAGAGTACCTTTACCATAGATTATCACCCAGCATTGCGGGAAATTTATGGAATTTTTAGGGAATATCGCAAAATATTGTAGGCTTATCTAGCAAGTTCCTAAGTGTCATGCCAGAGCCACCTATGGTGTGTTTTAGGAGATCCAAAAACCTTAAAGACCATCTCGTTCGGGCTAAATTGCATAAGCTTGAGGTTGCCGCTAAAGAAATTGAATACATATGTACCACTGGGATTAAATTTGAGGGAGGAATATTAATGCAAGTCTATATATTATTAGTGTATGTTAATTAGGATTGGGCCGAAAGTATTTAAGGACATGGATTTGAACTTATCTTGTTTCTGACGAAGGGGCTGTGCCCCGAAACGTATTTATGTATTTATTTTAAATTTAATAAAATTTATTTCTAACTTGAAGTTTTATATAAATGAAGTTTTTTGGGAGGCTATATATATATATATATATATATATATATATATATATATATATATATATATATATATATATATATATATATATATATATGCTTGATGTTGTTAGTGAATTGTTCAGGCAAAGTACAAGATGGTATCCTGTTCTTTGACACCACTGTAAATAAAGAAAGTCTTAACAAAAGTTATGTTTTTGAACTTACTTGTTTAGTTTTGTGTATGTGTGAATAAAATTTGTGATGTCAAGTCAAGGATTAGAAAAATAGATACGTTTACAGAGTTTTTACTCAAAATAAAAGATGGCGGATTTGAATCACAAATGTGCCAAAATTATCAAATTCTTCTCGCCACAATATTCTGATTTTCCTAAGTTAGACAAAAAACTGGAATAGCGTAAAGCTCCAATAGTTAATGTAATTATTTCATGTGTGCAGTCGTATCGTCAGGGTACTGAATGGCTAGAATGTAGTGCAATAAAGTAAGTATTTTTATTATAACGAAGGTGTACCCCCACGCCACTATTACTAAGTTATGATATACTGGTAAAGCTATATTGCAATCTTTCAATAAACCGTTGACACACAATTTGATGCATTATAAAACACACCGCTCGAAATACCGAGTCGAAAGCTCAAAACAAATAATTACAATCCGGAGAACACTGTATAATTTTGTAAAAATTATAATTTAATGAAATGCCTGGATTACAAATCTTCAAATCTATTAAATATATATACATATATACATATATATATATATATATATATATATATATATATATATATATATATATATATATATATATATATATATATATATATATATATATATATATATATATACTATATATATATATATATATATATATATATATATATATATATATATATATATATATATATATATATATATATATATATATATATATATATATATATATATATATATATATATATATATATATATTTAATAGATTTGAAGATTTGTAATCCAGGCATTTTCATTAAATTATAATTTTTACAAAATTATACAGTGTTCTCCGGATTGTAATTATTTTTTTTGAGCTTTCGACTCGGTATTTCGAGCCTTCATCAAAAAGATTGATCATTTGAATTTTCGCGCTGTTGTTGACGTTGTTGAAGTCTGTGGGAACGTCTGATTGGTTGATGGATTTTAGTATGTTGGTTGCCATTAGTTACTATCGAATGCGGGTGATTATTGTTATCATGAGACGGTGTAGGGAAGGAAGTTGAGGGTGGGTTAAAGGTTAATGAAGATAAATTAGGAGATTTGTGAGAGCGTTTCAGTTGTAAGTAAATTGTAGGGATGTCAATGTGACGGTTAAATGTTTGTTTGTCTAAACTATGCCACGCTTCTTTAAACTCAAGGGCATGTTTAGTAGTTGCCTGTCCTAGGCATCTCGTGTGAGACCAGTCGAATTTGTGTCCGTTGTCGTCTGCATGTGTGTTTAGCTGGAAGTGAACTATGGTCGTGTCTGTTGATTGCGTTCTGGTGTTCTGTTAGTCTAGTCTGAATCTTTTTAGATGTTTGTGAAAATGTACTTATCCGGACAGTTTTTGCACGGGAAGATATAAATGGCGTTATTTTTATCCGTTATATGTGTCTTGTCTTTGTGTTTAGTGAAGTTGGACCTACCTAAGTTTGCATGTTGGTTTGTGTGCAAACTTAGGTCCAACAACGTTGGACACAAACCAACATGCAAACTTAGGTCCAACTTCACTAAACACAAAGGCAAGACACATATAACGGATAAACATAACGCCATTTATATCTCCCGTGCAAAAACTGTCCGGATAAGTACATTTTCACAAACATCTAAAAAGATTCAGACAATACTAACAGAACACCAGAACGCAATCAAAAGACACGACCATAGCTCACTTCCAGCTAAACACACAGACGACAACGGACACAAATTCGACTGGTCTCAAACGAGATGCCTAGGACAAGCAACTACTAAACATGCCCGTGAGTTTAAAGAAGCGTGGCATAGTTTAGACAAACAAACATTTAACCGTCACATTGACATCCCTACAATTTACTTACAACTGAAACGCTCTCACAAATCTCTTAATTCATCTTCATTAACCTTTAACCCAACCTCAACTTCCCTCCCTACACCGTCTCATGATAACAATAATCACCCGCATTCGATAGTAACTAATGGCAACCAACATACTAAAATCCATCAACTAATCAGACGTTCCCACAGACTTCAACAACGTCAACAACGTCAACAACGTCAACAACAGCGCGAAAATTCAAATGATCAATCTTTCTGATGAAGGCTCGAAGTACCGAGTCGAAAGCTCAAAACAAATAATTACAATCCGGAAAACACTGTATAATTTTGTAAAAATTTATATATATATATATATATATATATATATATATATATATATATATATATATATATATATATATATATATATATATATATATATATATATATATCCCACATCCACCACACTGTGCTGATGAGCCCCAAAAAGGGCGAAACAGCTGTCCACAGTTGCCGTTGTTTGAGCTTTCCTTGAAGG